TATATATATATATTCCGTTTCATAACAGAGCCAAATGATGTTTTTTTCATTATTTTTGAGGCTTAATTTTATAAAGTAAACAATGTTTTTAATCAGCCAGATTTAGAAAGGTGATTAATAACACTTTACACGGTCTTTAACTGTGCACAATCATGTGGAGTTCCAGGACAGCTTAGTTTTCACCTTTTCTCATGTTACAGTATGCTAACGTTTACATGTCCCATACATGCACCATATATATGCATCTGTGGGGCGGGAGTTTGGCTGCAAACTGAGCTCCAGGGAGGAGCTTTGTGCAAATAGGTGGAGCTTTGAACCAGGAAGCGTTCAGGCAGCTTCATGTGGCTACCAGAGGAGATTCAAGGATTTCTCAAACATGCATGACTGAATCAAAGCAACACTTTGGGTATGTTTTTGATGAGGACCTGCCTTTATGTCATGATATAAAGCTCAAAAAAGTTGTTTTTGCATAACAGCCCACCTTCAACAATTAATTAGCTATACTGTATTTAAAGTGTTTGTTTTCTCAGACTGTTTGTCAAAGATAAACTGCATTTGTATAAATAGCTCAAAGCAACACGAGAAAGCAAAAGACCATCAAACACAAAATTGTGGAAGTGGAAACGCTCTGTTCAACAATAATTTGATGCTTTATTTTTTTGTTTAAGTCAACCATGTGTTAGGTGGTGGCTCATGAGTTTTCAGTGGGAACTGTCTGACTCCATGTACTCTTCCAGTTCTTCCACCTGGGGCTGATGAGCTGCAGAGTATTCCATCAAGTTGGGGAGTCTGGATATCGTGCAGCAGCTAACGGCGCTCCGGAAGATCTCCATGTCCTGAGCGTTTGTCCATGTGTTGGTTGCAGCATCATAGAACTCCACATTGAAGGTGGTGGAGACACCGTTGAAGCCCCCCACAACAAAGATGCAGCCTTCAACCACCTCAATGCCGAAGTTGCTGCGGGGGGTGTTCATGGAGGCCACATTCATCCAGACGTTAGTCCGAGGATTGTAGGCCTCAGCAGTGTCCTGACGGAAGTGGCCATCAAAACCACCAATCTAAAACGGAAAAAATGAAAGTCTGATCACTCATGTGTTTGAATATATTGAGACAGTTTCTCAACTTCCTGTAAAATGGTACCTGTTGAAAAGAAACCAGTAATGACTTAAAGTACAGCTGGATAAAATGTTTTTTTCTCAAATAAACCCTCTCCTGAATGTACGAACTGACAAATAATTTGTTTTCTTAGTGTTTTGTGGAACTGCTGACTCTCCATCCAGTAGCTTGTGAGCTACCTGTAGCTCCTGTGCTCATTTAAAGTAGCTCTTCAGTGCTTGTGAAAAATTAGGAGAAGCAAAATTTAATTTGTCACTGGCCAAACAAACTTTCATTTAACTCCGAACAATCTATAGATGTCCCTTCCCCTTGGTTGTCAAACAGTTTAGGGCTCAGCATGGTAGATCGGCAGACAACACACAGTTACGTGGCTGTTTGGCATTCGTTTTTACACACACTTTTCATAGACCCTTGAGACTAAGTGTGCCAAACTTCTGGGAAACCCCTCCTGCTGCAGTATATGTCACTACAGTGGGTTTCTTCCCGCTGGGAAAAAAATGCGGAAAAAAAATCAGAGACCCATTACCCAATGTTATTTGTGCACAAATAGCAATTGCAGTTAAACCCTAAGTTATTAGTGTAAAATACAATACAATATGAATGGATAATCACAAAAAGCACAATTATGTAAGTTCAGTGTTCTTTGTAATAGTTTCATGTGAATTGAAGACAGAGTTTTTTTTGTGCAAAACAAGCTTATTCCAATGGTTTTATATTTTAAATTAAATGTTGCAAAAAGTAGCTCTCGGATAATTTCATTTTGAGAAAGTAGCTCTTAAGGAGAAAAAGTTAACTGTGGTCAGAACGTACAGTAGGTCTGATACTCAGAGGAGCCCTTCTGCAAGTCTGATCATAGAGTAAATATAATTTAAACATGCAACCTGTGAGTCGGCAGCTTTTTCTGGACTTACTGCATAAATGTGGCCTTCACATGCAATAACTCCTAATCCACTGCGCGTAACGTTCATGGGGGCAATCGCTGTCCATTGGTTGCTCTCTGGTGTGTAAAACTCAGCTGTTTGCAGGCACATCAGACCATTGAATCCACCACAGATGTAAATCTAAAGACAAACAGATAGTCATTAAAGTAAGTGTAAATAGTTCCTTAAATGGTCACAGTTTAGAGCACTGACAAACCTGTTCCTCGAGGCTCGCTGTTTTGCTTGTTTCTCTGCTCAAACACATCTGATTCAAGGACTAAATTCTCTCTTTAAGTTCTGCAGAATCACCCATTCATTAAAATCAGGTGTGTTGGAGCAGATAAACCTCTAAAACATGCAGCATATTGGACTTTGAGGACTTGGAGTTTAATTCCGACCAGAATAACGAGTCAGTGACTACCAGTCTGGTTGGATTCATTCAGAGAGCATTCTACAGCAGGTAAGATTTATAAAATTTACACAAAAACTCTACTTAATGCACAACCACCCACCCTGTCCTGAAAGGTCGTGCAGCTTGCATCACTCCTTTGCTCATTCATCGGTTCAATGAGGCTCCACTGGTTGGTCTCGGGGGAATAGCATTCCGCAGTGTTGAGTCGTGTTTGTCCGTCGAAGCCTCCCATTGCGTAGATCCGCCCGTTCAGCACAGTGACGCTCACATAGCAGCGGCGAAAGTACATGGGTGACACCTCCAGCCAGGTGCGTGTGACGGGGTCAAATCTGCGGACGTTGTTGAAGTGCTCCAGCCTGTCGAAGCCGCCGACGCAGTAGACATAGCCATTGAGGAAAGCGGTTCCATGATAGGCGCGGGGTTGCTCGAAATCGTCTGTCACGTTGATCCAGTTGTCAGCGCGGATGTCGTACGCTTCGATGGCGTTGGTTGGATTGTTACCGCTCCAGCCTCCGATGGCCAGGAGGATGGCACTAGGCATGCGGGGGCGGTCCATGGGAACAGAGGTGTAGGCTATGCGTCTCCTCAATGAGACAGGTCGATGAATGTTTTTAGCAATGATGGTGTTGACGATGGATTTGCACTTTTTACTTCTCAGGACAAGGTTGTTGGAGATCACTGTGGTCCTGATGTACTCCACATCCATCCGAGTCAGTCGGATCTAAACAGAGGGAACATATGCCATATTTTAGCCTTTTACACACATTTAAACACAATTAAATTACTTATGGGTATAGACCAAAGTCTATAAAAAAGGCAAAAAGTGGTTATGTTTTAGTCCAAATCCTAATTGAAATAAATGCTCTATGAATTACTTGCAAGTCCCCATTATAGAGATACTTGTGTGGGTCAAGATCTATTTGTCAGAAAGTTTGTCTCTGAGGAAAACAATCAGGATTGCATCCCCTTGTGACATTATAAGGAGATAAGTATTGCTCCCAGCAAACAGCTCTGGCCAAGCTCCTCTCTGTCACTCCACTGAGCTTTTACTGAGCAACAAAGAGGATTCAAAAGATACAGCCACTGCAGCGCTGCTTAGGTTTTCGGAAATCGTTTTGTATCCTGTCGATTGTTATTTAGTCTTTTTCTATCATAGTTTTTTTTAAGAACCATGAGTGTCTTGCAAGAGATGGAACTGCTAGTCAGCACCACAGGAGGCTGCTATTCAAGTTGTGATCATAATTTCCAGGTGCCACCTCATGCTACCACATCCTTAAATTTGACATTGAAGTGATGATTTGGTTGTTTTATTTATTTAGACCATCTTTCTAGATGGAAACAAAAATTGTCCAAAGACACGATCATTAAAAGACAACATGATCACTGAAAATATCTTCATACAACCCTGATTCTAAAATGTTGGATTATTGTGTAAAATGTAAAGTAAAAAACTGAACATAATGTTCTAATGAGGAGCATTCTTAATTTTTTCAAGTTTTTAGATGCAGACTGCCGATTCAGACTGGTGTACCTCTGCCCATCTTTACTCCTCAGAGGTTTAAACCATTCAAATTCATCTGATTTTTTCTTTTAAATATTGTACAGTTTCTTAGTTTAAACATTGGATGTGTTTTACTTCGTTTATTTAAAGGGAAAAAGGGGTTTGTGAGATTTTCAAATCCTTGCATTATGTTTGTATTTATATTTTGCACAACATCCCAACTTATTTTATGAGTTGAGTTTGTGGAGATAAGCTCACTGATTTTTTTGCCACAATTAAATAAAAACAATAAAAAACTTGAACAATTTTTTTACCCATCACAGCAAACTGAGGATCAGACCAAATGACCCAAGTACATTTTTTGATTCCTTCTTTTTGAGCTACAGTACATGTTGATACACCTGTTTTAACTATTTGGTTTGAGTCCGATTTTTAGGTTTTTCTAATGAGAGGCCTCACACAGTGTTTAGATATTACGATTTACCAGCTGGAAAGAAAACAACTCACAAGGAAAATTATCAAATTGTAAGGCTTTTCTGATCAAAGTCTTATTTTTTGAAGCTATTTTTCAAATAAGGGTTTCAAAAAATTATTTAAGACTACAAAATGCACTTGTTGCAAATGTTTTAATTAAAATACTATAGCTTTCTTGGTTGGAAATGATGGGTCACATTTATACATTTGAATGCATAAGTGCATTAACACTAGTTCTTAGCTGGTCCAGACACCTGTCCTTAAACTTGTTTCTAGCTGAAGTACTGTGTTCTGTTTGTTACTGTGCTAAATTCTTGGATTATTTGACCATATCGAGATACCTTCTGAAAAAGTTTTTTTTATCTACTTTTAAGTGGGGAAAGCTGTAATATTCTTTAATACGAGTGCAGCTGTATTTAATCGATTAGATCCAGTTGCTTCATTTATCTCTTTACGGCACAGGAGAGTAAAGATGAATCCAAACAGTGAAACAGAACTTCAGACATTTTGACTTGACAAATGCAGCTTTACAGTCAGGGTAAAAACTTCTACCGGACAGTGTGCATGTCAGTAAATGATGTCAAAGCAGAGATGATACCTTGGTGAAGAGAGCAGAGAAGTGCCTCTCTCGGTCTTCAGGTTTGTCAGCAATCCATTTAAGAACAGCCTCAAAAATGACGCTCTCTTTTTGGACATTGAGATCATCTCTCTCGATGATGTTAGCCAGTTCCTCCTCAGTGAGTAGCGAGAATTCGTCGCAGTTAACCACCTCCTTGAATTGCTCCAGGATGCAGCAAAAGGCCTTGCAGCGCAGCTCGGGGTGACAAACGACATTGGTGAACTTCCAGATGCCAACGCAGTTGTTTGGGTTCAGCAGCCCTATGAAGAACTCGTAGCAGGCCTGCATCACTCCCATCATGTTAAACCGATCAGCTGCTATCATGGTTTCGTGTGCGTTGGTCTCCGTGATGGACATGGAGCCGGTGTACATGAAATCCAGGATCCGCCGCATGGTGTCTGGAGACAACCCTGATATGGGGAAAACCGTTTGCTCTGGTTTGGACCACCGTGTGAAGAAAGCTCTGAAAAAGACACGAGCAAATTGGGAATTTGAAAATGACATGACACCATTTTAAGCGCTTAACTTAAACCTGTAACTAGAGAAATCAGTGTGACTGACTTAATGACTTGAAGTTTGCAGAAGATGCTAAAATTTAGTTGTTAAAGTTAATAATTATTTGTGGATTTTCAAAAATCCCTATTATGTATCAAAGTCAAGGCCCGTGAACCAAATCTGACCCTCATTAACATTTTATCCGTCCTCAAAGGTAATATTTTAAATGTGCAATTAGTCAGTGTTGTATAAAGTACCTCAAAGTGATACTTGAGTAAAAGTACAAGTATCTTATCATAAAAATACTTTGGTAAAAGTTAAAGTCTTCTCTAAAAATATTACTTGAGTAAAAGTACAAGTATCTTATCATAAAAATACTTTGGTAAAAGTTAAAGTCTTCTCTAAAAATATTACTTGAGTAAAAGTCTTAAAGTATTTAATATTTTTTGTATTTAAACATCAAAAGTAAATTTCTGACACAAAATGTAAAGTATTAAAAGTAAAAGTACTGAGTAAAAGTGAGCAGTTAGATTTTCCATAATGACATTTGTTGGGAGGTGACTTCTCCAAAAAATATTTTTAACGGCGTGCAGCTGTGATGGGTTGTGAACAAGCTAATAGGGTGTCAGAATAGTATATATTTACACTTCACATCTAACCACAATTAAATTCACTTTATCCAGGAGACATAATTTATCAGGATAGTATTTTTTATTTAAGTAATAACTTGGAATAAAATAGGAGTAACGACTTTCTACTTCTTACCTTTTTTAAAAATGTAGTGAGTAGAAAGTACAGATAATTGTGTAAAAAAATGTAAAGAGTAAAAGTAAAAAGTACGCTGAAAAATAATTACTCAAGTAAAGTACAGATGACCAAAATGCATACTTAAGTACAGTAACAAAGTATTTGTACTTAGTTGCTTTACAGCTCTGGTAATAGTTTTATCATTTCTCTTTTTGTCACTGTATAATGCTGTCTTCATCAAAAAATGCTTGATTACGCAGCGTTGCCATTTACTTTAAATGTTCAGACTATTGGTTCTTAGACTTAAATCTTTTGTAAGAGCATGTATATCAAGATTTTGACATCATCGACCATGGATTCATTTTGCAACTATGTGTTCCACTCTCACATGAAAACTTTTCTCTCTCCACCAAACAAACTACAGGCCTAAAGTCATAAATTTCAGCCAGTTAGAGACCTCTAACCTTATCACCATGGTAAGACCTGAGGACCACCTTTCTTATCTGACAGAGATCATCTCTGGAACTTGACTCTGTGTCCTTAAATTTCTGTGGATCATTTGATCAGTTTCATCCTTAAGATCAACTCACCGAAAGTATTCTGTGTGCATACACAGGACAACCTTGTGGACTGGAAACTCCACGTCATCCACTTTGAGCACGGCGTCGGTGAGGCTGTCCTCCAAGCGGAGTTCTTCGAGCACCGGGTTAACTGAAGGCTCGTCTTGTCTGCTCATCTTGAACTTATTGGACGGTTTTCCTCAGGTTTGTCTCCACGGTCAGGTCAACTGAGTGTAAAAAAAACATGAGAACACTCAGATGGCGTCGTGTTCTTAGGATAAAAACAACCAACAAAATCAAAGCTCCAGTTTGGATTTTTATTCGAAATTTTAATTTTGCATCATTTAAATGTGACAATTTTAACATCATATTGAACAAGTGCTGTTATATTATGAAGATTCGTTTTGGAGGGCTACTTTAGCATGGCAGATATTAATCTGAGAGAAAGATTTTTGGTTTTAGGCTAACTTCAACTCTTCTTCCATCTGCTCACTTAGCTAGTGTTGCAGCCTAGACCACCTGACCCGAGACCAAGTCAAGACTAGAGTGTACAGAGATTAAGTCAAGGCCAAGACTTTTAGGGGTATAGACCCTAAAACACCAAGATATTAAACAGTCAGAGCTGAAATAAACGTAACAATCTTTGATCAAAACCACTGGGTGATTTTCATCATTTACTGTCAGATCGTTCTTAAATATTATTTCACTGGTTTCTCTCTATGCCTCCAGTTTGGGTATTTAACATGTTGTTTGTGTTATTACTGGCCTAAACTGATTCATCACAGGTGGATAATGGTAATATCTAAACACACATAGCTGAGAACTAGAACTGTAAATTTAAGAGAACAAGTTACAGATCCTCATTTCTTACTTTCTTATATATATGTAAATACATGGACATTTGTCTGATTGAGAACATTTTTAAAGGAATAGATCAGATCACTCAAGTTACTTAAGGTTCTGAGGAAAAGTTATAAGCAATTAATGTCTTACCTGTTGAGGGCACAAGGTTGAGTGTCTTCAATTTGGACAAAAAACACTAGTTTATTTTGTGCATCATGATTTAAACACCACAAAACCCTAACAACCTTTCAAAAATAAACAGGTGTTAGAATGTTTTGGATGCACATTCAACAACAAAATAAATAGTTACCACGATGGTTGCTAAAACCTAAAGTAGCAAAGAAAAACAAAAATGGAGCTTCAGATTTGAAAACAAACAAACAAATAAACAATGTTTTTGCAGGAATTGAAGAGGTCTCAATGGCTTTTTATGAGAAACTTTATGTATAAAAGCCACAAACACCAAAAGTCACAGCACACTATTCCCAACCCGGTTGAATTTTGGGATATTTGGTTTAAATTGTACAAAGCAGCCTGCGTAAATAGTTTGATTGCTTTAAAAAAAACATGGGAAGCAGCATTCTACTCAGCATTTATGATTAATTAACCACATCACTTAAAAAACACCTATAACACTGAAAACTAGAGAACGAAAATGTTTATTTCAGAACATGATGTGAGCAGAAATATATTCAGGTTTTCCAATGAATGTTGTTTTTCTCTCAGATTGTTCTTAAACATTATTTCACTGGTTTCTCTCTATTCCTCCATTTTGGGTATTTAACATCACATCTCACTGCACTGACCATGCTCTATAAGAACCTGGTTAAAACATCCCTGACTTTAACTGGAGTCATGAAGAAATTTGCTTCTCAGTTACAGAAGAGCAAAATTTATGTAGAAATAATAAAAAGTACATGACTGTTTTATTATTTTGATTTATTTAATAAATACACTGGCATGACACAACTTAGTACAAGTTTGTTTGCTTTTTGAGATACGTCTATTTTGAAGTTGTAGCCCCCACTGGAGAAAAATCCACCAGCCGCCACCGACACCAGAACCTTTTTCACAGCTGTCTGGGATTTATGTCTGAAATGTATTTTGTGCATCTATAAAAACAGTCATTGTTGAACGTTAATTAAAAAAGTGAAATGGCAAGCATAGACTTTAATTGTGACAGCATGGATGTCCAGTAACCGTGACCAAACAGGTGAATATCTCACAGTCTCCACAGCAGCTTCCAGCAAATTTTAAATGAATTTGAAATCAATAACATCGGGTATTCACCCAGAAAATATGTAGTTCTACAGAAATGACCTGATGCATCTCAGTAATCCAGGTAGAAAAAATCAAAAAGAAAAAATAAGTAAGTCTGGATGGGTTCTTCCTTTTGATGTACAGAAATGACATAAACCACACCTTAAGTCAGCCTATGAGCCAGCCGAAGAAAAATAAAGGAATAATAAAAAGTCTCAACCCTACAAATACATTTGTACTATTATTTCACTCTCTGTTGGTCCAAATATTAGAATAGAATAGAATAGAACAGAAATAGAAACAGCCTTTATTGTCCCACGCAGGGAAATTCAGGTGTATTAATCTCACAAATCAGCTGCAATACTTCAACGTTAGTGTTAAATTGTAACATGATTCAGCTGAGCTACACTCTGTTTATATGCTGCACAGGCTAACATCTGCTAACCTGTTCAAGAAATAACAGTGATATCGTCAGGTTTATGATATTATTTTGATTTCCGACTCTTGTGTTTTCAAAAATTAGCTTATGTATCTGGAATTTCACCAGATCTTTGGCCTCAGCTGGCACCTTCTTGGCTTTCCTGGTGCCCGTTTATTACAGCGCTTATGGTAACACGCTGTCTCCAGAAGCGAATACACTGCAGCAGCTGCTTATATGCAAATTAAAGTGTATATCTGCATTTTCACAATGCTTTTTCACTTTTGTTCAACACTACTCATATAAACCAAGTATATCACCAACTTTCAGACAAATTTAATGAGTGGGTCAAAATAAATTACACTTGGAATGCAAAGAAATATTTTCCAGCAGCCTCTTATATGCAAACTCAGGTGTTTACCTACATTTTCACAATGCTTTTTTTAATGCCACTTGAAATGAAATTTAAGACCAACTTCACAACAAATGTGAATGAGGAAAAACAAGCACACTTAGTCAGCTCTTAATTTATTCATGATATACTGTACAGCGGGTAAAATAAGTATTGAACAGGTCACCATTTTTCTCAGTACATACTGTATATTACTAGAGGTGCTAATGACATGAAATTTTCACCAGATGTCCGTAACAACCCAAGTGATCCATACATACAAAGAAATCAAACCATAAATGTCCAGAAATGAAGTTATTTGTAATAATGTGGAATGGCACAGGGGAAAAGTATTGAACACATGAAGAAAGGGAGGTGTAAAAAGGCATGGAAAGCCAAGACACCAGCTGAACTCTCTCAGTAATTAGAAAGCAAGTCTGCCCCTTGTCAGTGCAAATTAATATCAGCTGGTTCAGTCCCAAATGATGGCCAGGTATCACACAAGAACCATCTGATGATGGGTAAAAGTAAAGAGCTCTCTCAAGACCTTCACAACCTTATTGTTGCAAATTATAATGATGGCATCGGTTACAGAATAATTTCTAAACTTCTGAATGTTCAAGTGAGCACTGTTGGGGCCATAATTCAGAAGTTGAAAGAACGTTAATTCACCATAAACTGACCACAACCAGGTGCTCCTCACAAGATTTCTGACAGAGGAGTGAAAAGAATTAAGAACCAAGGACCACTTGTGGAG